AGTCTAAGGGTTCTTCACCTAGCATCCCAAAGAGCAGGGGGACAAATTTCAGGGAGATAAATTGAATGGGTTGGGGGAGGGGAATTACATAGTTCCCTTAGTTATTTAAAAACCATTATTCTTCAGAGGCTTCATTAGAGTACCAGAGGAGATCATGACAAAAAAAAATGTTAAAGACCCTTGATTTAGTCTAACTCCCTCATTTTGCATGTGGGCAAACTGATGACCAGGGGTTAAGTGAATTAGGATCACATGATCTAGAACTGAAAGTGACCTGAGACATCATCTAGCTCAATCCTTCATTTTACAAATAAACATAGAGTTCGAGAATGGAGAGGGGGAACCTTGACTGCCACTCTCATTTTGTTGTTGTGCAGCTGTTTTCAGTCATGTCTGACTCTTTGTGACCCCATTTTGGCGTTTTCTTGGCAAAGATACTAGAGTGGTTTACCATTTCCTTCTCCAGCTCATTTTACAGATGAGGAAACTGAGACAAAGGGAGTTAAGTGACTTGTCCAGGGTCACATGGCCAGTAAATGTCTGGGCAAGTCACTTAACTCTGTTTGGGGGTTTCCTTGGCAAAAATACTGGAGTGGTTTGCCACTTCCTTCTCCAGCTCATTTTACAGATGAGGAAACTGAGGCAAACAGAGTTAAGTAATTTGCCCAGAGTCACACAGTTAATAAGTGTCCTCTTGACTCCAGGGTCCACCACTCCATCTACTTTGCCACCTACCTGCCTCTCATTTTACAGATGAAGAAATTGAGATCCACTGAGAAAAGTGCCTAGAATGAGGTAATAAAGGTAGGTTAGAACCCAGGTCTCCAGATACCCAATTCAGTGTCATTTTTATCATGCCACATACATGACCCAGCCCACAAATGAAAGGCCTTGTCTATCTGATAAGTTATGCTGAGACACACAAACTTCAAAGTCTTGTGCAAATTACATTTCATGAGTAATTAGATTTGATTTGTCAGAAAAAAATGAACCAATTTTCCATTACCCTATAACTAAATTCCTCTAAAAGTGAGCCATTTGTTAAAGTGATAATAGAATGATGAAAATTACGTGCCATTTTTGAGTTTTCATCTTGTCCCCAGGAATACCTACCTCCAAGCCTGCCTTTCCACAGTGAGTTTTCTCAAGGGCAGAGCATCAAAGTTTGTATAGAAGAGATCAAAATCAAAACCAAAAAGAACTGAGGAGGAGAAGAATTTTGTTTTCACAATTTCTTCTAGGAGCTTTTCTCTGTAACTGGTTTGTTCAGTTTGGGTTTGGTTTTTTTTTTTTGAGGAATAAAAAAAAAGAAAGCCTGCAACTTATGACAAAGCCATACTTTTCCAAACCAAAGAAATTCTTTTCAAGTCAAACACTCTATTTTATTTTCCAAATTTGCCTTGCATTTACTATGTAATGATCACCAAGGCCTGGGTGTGCTTATTTCAAAAATTGACCATCCTTGGCATCATAAATTGAAAACTAGGGGGGACATGAAAGGATATCTAATCCAACACCCTCCTCCAGTCCTTCTATTTTTCAAAACAGTAAAATTAGAGAATGGATATTTTCAATTGTTTTCAAAAATCATGACCCATATGCCCCAAGGATATCCAAGGCATAGAGCCAGGTTCCACAGATGGCACCAAATTCATAGCAGCAAAAACTTGAAACAAAGATAGTGCTTATTGACTGGGAGAAAACTGAACAGATTATAGCATATCGAAGTAACAGGATAGTACAAGATGATATGAAAAAGTCAAAAGTAAGGAACTCAAGTAAATCCATGAAGATGTCTTGTATTGATACAGTTAAGTAAGCAGAACCAGGAAAACAATATACACCATGACCTCAGCAGTACAAAAGAAAAGAATTCAGCTTCTGTCTTTTATTTCAGAGAAATATGAGAAGATTGCTTGAAGTGATCTAGAGTGAAGTAAGAAAAGCCAAGAGAACCTCATACACACTGGCCACAATAATGTAAAGGGAAAAAAATCAGATAAATGCAATAACTAATCTGATCTCCAGAGGGCTAAGGATGAACCCTATCTCTCATCCTGTGGTAGGTAAGCTACAAATATGGAATGAGGCACAGTGAATGGACTGATTTGTCTTGTCTAACTGTAGTTTGTTACAAGGAAAATTTGGAGGTTGGGGGGAGTAGCGAAAATTAATGGCAAATTTTTAAAAAGTGTCCATAAAACATTTTTAAAACAACAAAAAAGAGTTATTATAAATATGTCTACTGTAAAGCATCATTCACCACAGTAAAATTAAATTCCTACTGTAAGCAAAGCATTAACCAGGTCTTTCTTTGTCATTGTCCCCTCTTCACACTTACCCTTGCCCTGGGAATCAGCTATTATCACTGTCCACAGCCCCAATGGTCCTGTCTATTACTGCATGTAAGCTCAGATGAGAGGGTTGTTTTTGACTCTGATCAGGCTCATAGAAGCAGGCTACTATTACTCCTGTAGCCAAGTAGAAGTATATGTTACCTATAAAAACTCTACCTGCCTAAAAACATTCATTGGACCTGTAACAAGATAGAGATATGTGAGAGATTTGTGACCCTCCAACTTGTACTTGACAGTGAAATTGTGTCATTTACAAGTATGTCCAGGAACCACCAGCTTTTTGCAAAACTATACGGAACTATCCAGTGATTATTGCCTATGCTGAATTCTAATTAAGTCTTATAGTCACAAAGAAATATGGTCACTTCTCCCTCTCCCCCTGTTTTTTGTTTTGCTGTATCCATTCAATTTTTTTAATCATTCAAGTCAAGAGTAATTTTTTAGTGCCTACCATGTGCTAGGCACTGTGCTAAGTGCTAGGGATACAAAGAAAGGCAAAAGACAGTTTCTACCCTCAAGGAGCTCACAGTCTAATGAGGGAGACAACACATAAAGAACTACGTACAAACGAGATACAGACTCTATAAACTGACAGTAATCTCAGAGGTAAGGCACTACCTTTAGCAACTTATTTTATTCTGGTGAGACCTAGGATTTCATTAGTGTAGCAAACTGTCCACACCAATGAAGAACACAACCTATCACTCAGCAGATAAATCTTCAACAGTTGTTGGAAGCTCAGAGAGGTTCAGTGATTTGCCCAAGGTCACACAGCTAGTGAGTGTCAGAGATCAGATCTGAACCGTGGTCCTCCTGATCCCAAACACAGTACTCTTTATACTATGCCATCCTGCCTCTACTTTCTAATGATAAATATACACATAGAAAAGCATTTTCATTTTTCTCCCACATGCAAGCAATTAGAAAGTTATCTTCACTGACCACTATGACAGAAGTAAACTTTAGCTAACACTAGCCACGAAATTTGTAGCAAGCACCTGCTGGGAACCAACAAAGAAGAAGTTCTAAGAATATATTTTTCTTCTAAATGAAGTTCAATACCTATAACATAGTTGGGGTGGCAAATACACACACACACACACATACACACACACATAGGGAGAGAGATACACATACAAACACACACATACACATGTGTGTACACACACACACACACACACACACACATATATATACATATCCAGAATAAATCAAGTAGCTGGGGCCTTTAAAAGAATAGATTGTTAGGTTATGTCACGTATATCTACCCTACATCTAGACATGGAAGGGTCCCTAAAAGCCATGTAATCCAAGTCCTGTGCTTTACAGATGAGAAAGCTAGGGCCCAGCCTCCTTTAATGACTTGCCTAAGGGTAGCTACATGGCTCAGTAGATGGAGTACTGGGCCTGGAGTCAGGAAGACCTAAGCTCAGATCCAAACTTAGATATTACCTGTGTGACAATGGGCAAGTCCCTTAACCTTTCTGAACCTCAGTATCCTCAAGCAGAAATGGGAATAACAGCACCAACCTTGAAGGGTTGCTGTGAGGATCAGATGAGATAATATTTGTAAATCACAGTGCCTTGAATGTTGCAGGTGCTATGTAAATGCTTATTCCCTTCCTTTTCTCAAGGTCACCCAGGTAGCAAGTGACAAACTTGGGATTTGAACCCAAGTCTTCTGACTCCATAAATCCGTACTCTGTATGTCACCGTGCTGCCTCATGCTTTCTTCACTCTGAACCAGTAGTCAGTATTTTCCTGGCTTTGAGTCTGATCAGCCTCTTCACCATAAATACATTTGCCCACTAGTTCAACTCTTATTGTGTCCATCATTTCTAAATTATGCGACCCAGTCTTATCTCTAGCTGCATCCAGACCCTCACATTCTTTTCCAGAAGTAGTGGAAGAATATCTGTCGCCTGAAACAACTCTACATTAAACGCCTCTACAATCTCCTGCCTTTGATTTTCTCCTCCCAACCGGGATTCTTTCAGTCGGATGTATATTTATGATAACTGAGTTACACTCACTGTGTCCAGAAAAGGCAAAGCCTCCTGGATGCCTATCCTGCTCCATTAACTTTCACACACTCTCAGGACCAGTGAAGGTTCACTTTCTTCCCTTTGTGGAAACGTGACCCAGAGCCCAGCTCACGCCTCCTGCAAGTGGGGAGAGCAGCTCCGGGCTGAGGCTTTTGCCAAGGAAGTGCAAGTGTGCGACTCCCTGTCAATTTCATTTAACTGGGAGGGAATGGGAGGGGGGAGCCTAGGCTGGAAACAGCAACTATAATAAGCACGATTTATGGAAATACCCAAGAAAAGAACCCTAATTCTTATCCAGGGATGCCATAAAGATGCAGGACTTCTGCACACTGCATCCCAGGGAGGGGGGGAGTAGCAACCGATGCGCTGATGAGAGGAACATTTAAAATTTCTCCGAGGATCTAAGACATACATTTACCTGGAAGACAAACATAGATCTCCCCTCCTCCCATCCAAACACATCCTGTTTTAAGAAAACACTCTGGAAGGTACTGAGCACAAGGAGCAACAGAAAGGATGATTATTTATCCCACGACATAATGTTGAGTGAGGTCGGGGGAGTTGGGGGAGAAGGGGAGGGAAGGGGGCACGTCCTTACCTTAGCAGGCTGGAGAGTGGCAGAGCCCCGGAACCACTGCCTAGGATCCCTCCTTTCCTCCCAGACAGGAGTTTCTCCACCAGAGCCACATTTCCAGTTCGAGCCGCTTCCAATAGCTCTTGGTCCTTCCCCATAATCACTCACACCCGCACCGGGAAGGGTGGTGGGAGGGAGTCTTTTCCCCACCTTATGCTCCTACTTCCCACCCCTCCCCTCCCCCCAAAAAATCCAGGGCCCCTCCCCACCCCACCCCACCCTAAAAATGAGAAAGCTCCAGTCAAGGAGAGATTCCTGCAGCCAGACGGGAAAGCCACCAGCACCTCTCTACCTTCTCCTCCTCCTCCTCCTCTTCCTCCTCTTCCTCTTCAGGGCGCAGCTTTTACTGAGGGGAATTCAACCATCTCTGAGGAGGGGGCTGTGCTAGCTCAGAGGAGGAAGAACCACCACTCCCTACCTAAAACCCTGGGGCCTTTTTTCTTTTCCTGTGGGGTGGTAGGGAGACAGGTTGCTTTTTAGAGGTGGGGGTGGGGAGAAAGGTAAGGATCAGGAAGAGGTGGGCAGTGAGGAAGCGAGAAGGAAGCGAGAGCCAGTGAGTCTTTGCTGGCGCTGGGAGAGAGCAGAGAGCGAATGACCAGGGAAGGAGGCAGGGATGCCGCCCCAGGCCCGTTGCTGGGAGACCAGAGCTAGCTTCGGAGGTGCTGGACAGCTCCGAGCTCTCAGGAGCTCCAACAGCCCTGCGCTGCTTCGCGCTGCTCCTCCCTGCTCCTGAGGGTTCCCCAGCCGAGCTCCCTTGCTTGCTTGCACGCTGCCCGGCGGCGGCGGCAGCGGCCTGGGCTGGGGATGCAGCTGTATGGAAGCGGGGCTGCTGCTGGTGATGCTGCTGCTGGTGCTGCTGCTGCTTATGCTGGTGATGCTGGTGATGCTGGCGGTGGTAGCCGGATTGCAGCCGGGGCCCCTGCTCTGCTTAAGGAAGGTTGGGGGAGATGAGGCGCTGCGCGTGCAGCAGGGAGGGAAGGGGAGTGGGGGGTTGTGGTGGGGGCGGGGATCTGGGGTGGGGCAGGGAGGGATTTGGGGGAGGCGGAAGCTGGGTAAGGAGGGCGGGGAGAAGTAGGTGGCTCTGATTCTCTCGCACGGGAGAACAGGTTGAGACGGAGGGGACACTGCTTTGCTTTACTAGAGCTGAGCCCAGCAGGCTGCCAAGGGGAGCAAGGCATTGTGTAGCCAGGGGCAGGTGTCCCCCAGCCAGGTCTGTCCGGAATCGGGGCGGGGGAGGGGAACTGGAAGAGAGAAGGAAACGAAGGAAGGGAGGTGGGAAAGGGAAGAGGGTATAATCTTGGGATTCAGGGGCAGGGAGTCTTTTTCCAGTCTCCTTGGGAAGTGATTTAACTGTGTGAGGACAGGAACCATCCTTCCTTGCCCGTATGGATGCTGCCAGCGCTCCTGGCTCGAGCCCTGGCCCATAGGGATGCTGAGGAGCCTCCTTCAACATGACGACGGGGATGGGGTTGGGGACGAAGATGAAGATAGAGGTGAAGATAGAGATGGAAATGAGAATCAATATTTGTCTTCCAACAGTGTTCAGGCAACCAGATCAGTGACTTCTCCCAGCCACTCTGACTCTTCTGAGGTGTAATGTACGCTCTATTCACGCCTGGCCTTAGAATTCCTAGTTTCCTAAACTCATTTCAAGCACAACTTACTACCTTTTCCTCATTCTACAGATGATAGAGCCTGCTGCCCACCACAACCTTGTATTTATTTTGTATTTTATTTTGTAAAATGTTCTCTTGATAGAATGTAAGCTCTTTGAGGGCAGAGACTGTTATGTTTATCCTTGTATCCTTAGCATCTATTCAGTGCCTGGGAATAGTGTTTAATAAATGCTTGTTGAATGCTGGATTGGGCTGAGGCGAAGGTGCCTGGATAAAGCATGATTTTATGTCCTTCCTGTGTCATTGGTCACAGTTTGAGATCTTTTCAATTTTCAAGGGTCATCAAATAGCTGTAGTTTTGTTTTGTTTGCATATCTACTAGCATAAAATAAATCAGTGACAGGGGACTCATCGGATATTCTCCTACCTTAACATAAAGTATAATATCAGTGACAGGAATACTTGATTTTCCATTATACGCACAGTGCAGGACAAAAAGCATGCTTTGGACAAGGAGTAAGACCAAGATTTTGGTCCTAGCTCTTTCACTGAATAGATGTGTGACTTTGGGCAAACAATTTACCTTTTCTCTCAGGCTTGGGTTTCCTCATTGGTAAAATGGAGATAATATAATCATAGCTAGAAGAACCTTAGAAGTTATCTAGACCAAATCAAATGACTTACACAAGGTCACACACACATCAAGTGGCACTGTCGGAATTCAAACCAACATCATTTGATTCAGGTTCCATCTCTCTGACCCCTTCTGTCTAGCTACACCCTGTTTCACACCTTCCTCCCTTCTCCCTAGATTATTACAATGACCTCCTAATTGGTCTCTGTGCCTTAAGTGTCTCCCCACTCCAGTCCATCCTACACACTGCTGCCAAGATGTTCTTTATGCACAGATCTATGTCATTTCATATTCAATCCAAATGGCTCCCTATTGCCTTTAAGATATAATATAAATTCTGTTTAGTTTTTGAAGCCCTTCCCAACCATGCCCAACCTACCCCATCCAGCCTCATTGCATCTTACTCTCTCTCCCACATACCACTCTATGATCTTCTGTTCTTCACACACAATGCACTCCATCTTCTGTCTCCTCCATTCCCTTGCACTGGCCATTCTCCACATCTGTAATGCTTTCCCTCCTTACCCACCCATTCCTCCAGCCCCCACTCCCACTTCATAGAATCTCTCTCTTCCATCAAGATAAAACTGGAGCATATTTGTGATCTTACATTTCTTTTGTATTCATCTCTTTAGATTTATTCTGCATATATTTATATGCATATGACATCTCTGTTGATAGAATGTTAGCTCCTTAAGAGTAATGATTGTTTTAGAAGATTTTTCTTTCTATCCCTACTGCCTAGCACACACAGGCGCTTAATAAATGCTTGCTTACTTCAATCATTGACTTCCATTGCATCAAGCTGCCTTGCCTCAGAGGGCAGTAAGGGGGACAAGCTATTAACAAGTATGTGAAAGCATTTTACAAATGGTAAAATGCTGTGCATACATAAGCATATGATTGTAGAGGGTCATGAAGGGCAGGTAGAATAACGTACTATTTAATCAGCAGCTATGTGTGAGCATTTGAAGGTTTTCAAGGAGCTTTCCTCACATTATTATGCCCATTTTATAGATGAGAAGATGAAGGGTCTAAAAAGATTTAGTGTCTTGCCAAAGGTCACACAGGCAGCAGATATCACAACTGGAATTTGAACCCAAGTCCCTTGACTCTTTGTATCACACTGCCTAGAACCAGGCCATCTCCCTTGGTAGTGCTTCAAGAACATTTGTTCTTTGTACTTATATCCCCAGCACCTAGCACAGCTCTTACCATGTTACCATAATTCTTGTTGCATAGTTTAGGGATAGATGTGATTCTTGCTATTGGAGTAGTTTAAATTGTTTAAACTCATCTAGATTTCAGGCTATGAATATTACTTCCTTTGTAATGGTGGTTGATATTTATATATTACTGTACACAATTCAGCTCATCTAAGCCTCACAACCAGCCTATGGGTATTATTGTTCCCATTTTACAGATATGAAAGCCAAGACTCAGAAGTTGACTGAAATGTCCATAGGGCACACAGCTTGGAAATATCAGAAATACATTTCTTCTAACTCTAGGACTTATATATTCTCCATGAAACCTAACAACTTCCTGTGCTTTGTGCACAATACAGGATTAATCAGGATTAATTTCCTAATACCATGGCATGAAAATTTAAGATAAGAATAGAAATCGGGATTAATTTCTCCCCTCCCCCACCTTTCAGCTCCCTTTTCTAGACTGTCTTCCCCAATTAGAATGTAAGCACCTTAAGGACAGGGCTTGTCTTTCTTTTTGGTTTTATTTGTATCTCTTGCACTTAGCACAGTGCCTGGCACATTGCTAAGCACTTAATAAAACTTGTTGATTGACTGGTTTCTTTGGTACACAGAATTCCTAAATAATTAGTGTGGATTTGTACTTTCTCTACAACTTATAATATTCCAGAGTTGACCCTCAAAAGTCAGGTGACTTGAGCAGGTCACACAAGTATGCGTCAGAGGTGTATCTGGAACCCAGTCTCTTCCTGACCCCAAGGCCAGTTCCATATCCACTAAGCCATATTGTCTCTCTTGGAGAACAAGAGAGATAAACATAAATTGTAAATAGATCGGATTGTGAGGTTAAGTAATAAATGTGTTCTAAAATGTATAAAGAAGTGAAGGTCAGTTGGATGCATTTTACGATATAGAAAAGCAGATAAATTTGGGTTAACACTAGGGTAGATGGATTTTGAGCTAAAAGCAATTTTAGGAAACAGATAAAATCACATGATGACATACCATCTTCCATCTCAGGAACTTTTCAGAAATGTCTCTATGCCTGGAATGCTCCCTTCTCAACTCTACCTCTTGGAATTTCTAGTTCCTTCTAAGACTTAGCTCAAGGACTAGAGGCCTTTCCTGATTCCTCTGAATAGTAGTGCCCTGTACCACCCCCCATTGTCCCACCTCCCAAATTTTGTTTTGCTTTGTATTTACCTTTAAACCTAGTTTGTATGTATTTATTTGTGTATATGTTGTTTTACCCTTGGCAGAATGTAAGCAACTTGAACACAGGATCTAAATCACATTTGTCTTTGTATCTCTAGTACCTACCACAATGCCTGGCCCATAGTAGGTTCTTAATAAGGGCATGTTCAACTGAATTTCATTATTAAATGCATCCCTGACAAACTGGTCCTATCAGATCAGTAAGTAAATGGCAGGTGGGGAGACAGCAAATTCAATTTGAAAATGGCACCAGGCAATGCATTCACCAGTTCAACAAGATGTTCCTTCCTCTTAAGGAACCACCAAGCAAATGTTTCAGCGGCCTTGTCTGAAAATTGAACCCAGTCACTACACCCCACAAGCTAGCAAGAGCAAGTATTAGTCATCAGTGAGTTAAGGCAAGATCCAGTGACCTGGGACCCCTGAGTCATCGGCATTATCATCCAAGCCACCCAACCGCTA